GTTACTGAACCTCAGTTTGTTCGTCTACAAATTGTGAGGTCCACCTCGCAAAGTGGTTGTAAGACTCAAAATGAGATTTGACTGAAGTGATTTGAAAATATAAGATAGGTGTTGCTGTTATTACTTTGGCAACTCCTGTTAGGACAAAGACATATGCAGTTCTTAGTGGTACCAGCGGTGACAGTGGCACCCTCTTTCTATTTGTTCATTATAAACGTGTGCAGCTTTAACAACAACTAGTAAGATCACTGGGCTGTAAACAGGACTCTGCACATCCAAGCAACAGAGACTACTTTCCTGCTGAGTTATCCATTTCCACACTACAGGAGAATTAGTTTGAAGAGAACACCTGCTGTACGTATGCAATGCTTTAAATAGACACATCTGAACTAGAAGCTCTTGGCGTCTTATAATAAAGGAAATTTGAGCTTTAGGATAACTTCCAATAGGGCTAGGGTAAATGTCAATGGTGTGTAGTCTGTTGGGGGTCACAATATTGTTTACCTGAACGTGACCCTCATTGTCACTGAGGCTCAGGAAGGGTACATGGTAAGGATGAAGCAGGAATGATTTACATCTATTCTTAGCAGAGCATCTAATCACTGCTCCAGGGATGAGGTGCTGTGAGCAATTATAAATGTTTCCATTTCTTTGGTAGAAACATTCTTCTTTCATTTATTCAGTAAATATTTCTTCAGGGTTTATTACATGCCTTGCACAATCCTAATTGCTAGGGATACTGAATCCACTGAACAGATTTTTTTCCTCAAGAGGCTCACAGGCTAGTGCATAGTTGCTTGTAATTTTCTAGTTTCTTCTTGTGAATACAAAAGGAACATTTGGTATTTAAATATCTGCTCCATTTGAAGAGTATCATGTTCTTTTTAGATGGTAACAGGATATCAAGACACCCTTCTATCATGGAAAGACGCTAATACAGTCAGTTCCATGTTAAAATGGACAAATTGGGACAGGTTAAATCTTTGTGAACTATCTGGTTACTTACAGAGCGAGAAGAGCAACTTGGGGTTCAAAGCAGTACCTTGGAATCAGAGTTTCTGGATTTGAGTCCTGGCTCTGAGAGATGTTAAGAAAATACCATACCCACTCAGAGATACTGTTTTCTCATTTGTAAAATGGAGAAATCATCCCTACCCCTATACATTGTTGTTCTGAATATCTAAGAGAATATAATTTATTTTCATACTTTTAAGCAGTATTGATTTTAAAAAGCGCCATCAATTAATAATAGCATCTTTTTTTGGAGAGGGTGGACACAAGACTCTTCTGATTTCACAAGCTGAAATGAATTTTGTGGAGAGCGGAAGATGTGAGTCTTATAATCAATGAAATATGATAATTCAGAATGTTTAAAACTAGAAAATCCCAAACAAATGTACTACTGCTCTCTTTCCACTGGACTTTTAACCAAATAGTCACACACAAGAGGATTAGCCATAGAACACTGTTTATGCCTCAATTTCAAGAAGCAATGCTTTGTCAAGATTCTTTCATTTGATGATACAAAAATAATTTTAATTATTTGGAGCTCAGAAAATATTAGATGGTTGCCATTTCATTACCTCTTCTTTTTCTAGTTTTCCTGGGATTTCAGAACCAGATATGCACAGAAGGGGCCCAGTCACATTACTTTAGGCTTCAGAGATACACATAGAGCTTTTCTCACCCTGGCTGCTTTTCAAGTCATCCTGTCAGGAAGGGCACCATTAGGAACTATTTGAGGAGGCTGGCTTCCCTCCCAGATATGCATCGGAATGCCCACCTCCATCAAGAGCACTGAGCTCTGGTGACTGGAAGGATTTGGGGTGGATCTCTCCAGGCTACGGCCCAAGGATTTTACCAGCTTTTACTTCAACCCCTGACTTAGCTCATCTCTCAAGTTGGCAAATTGCCTCTGTGTTGAAGTGGTGACATGGAATTTTCCATTGCTAAAGATTTACAGATGTTTGGCTTACCAATCCAAGTGTGTGTGTGTGTGTGTGTGTGTGTGTGTGTGTGAGAGAGAGAGAGAGAGAGAGAGACAGAGAGACACAGAGAGAGATACAGAGACAGAGAGAGACAAATAGATTATGAACTAAATTCATCAGAATCCAACTTTAACCAGAAATTCTAGACAATAGCAAGAGTCTATCTTTTCTGCTCTCCACAAAGGAAGAGGATGTATGCACCTCTCTTGTACCTCTTTGGTATTGACCATCGATAACTCAGTTGTGGATACCGTGAGGGCAAGGATGTTATCAAGTTTATTCTTTCTGTGTTCCTAACACTTGGCACAGAGTGTGGCACACAGTTATCAGCTAATAAATGCTAATATAAATGCTTGCTGAATTGGATGAGTTAAATGAAGAGTTCTGATAAAGAAAAATGATCATTTAGTTTACCAGATCTAATACTAAATAGATCAGCCTTTTAGAATAATTTTTAATAATACACTGAATTAAGGTATGCCTTTCTCCATTCCTCCCCACCCCTTCTCTGTTTTCAGATAGAATTGGGATCATTTGTTTTGACTAGAACAATCTCTTGCAGCTTGGATGGAGAAACTTTAAAGAGGTTTCAGCCAAACACTCAGCAATTCTTTAATGTGTGAAATAAAGTAAGTTTTATAGGCAAATAACAATCTGAATCCCTAACTAGCTATTTCATATAATATGCATATAACTCTGAAAGTTACATGCATCAAATTTCAATTTGGCTTCATGCAAGTTTTATTTTATAGATTAATAAAGGCAGATTTTCTTTGATTATCAGGATTATTGCAAAATGGAGTCAGCACAGAAGCTTTCTGAAGTTGGCAAAGTCTGTTTTCTTTTGGTGATAGGAGTAACTGATGTATTATTACTTTTTAAGACTCTGAGATAAATCTGATTCATGTTTGAATCATAAGTTTATTACTGATTTTTAGTGTGGATTTTGCATAAGACACTCAATTTAGAGAATACTCAGTTTTCTCATAGGTACAATAGAAAAACAGTGGTTACCTGATCAGATTTTTTGAAAGGTAAACACAACAGCAGTTGTAAATGGCATAGTCCATTGTTACGAACAGACTAGGTGCTCAATAAATGAACAACAACAAAAAAAACCATGAGGCTCTCTTGAAGCTTTATATTCCCTGTCTACAAAATGGAGACATCACTGATTTCCTGCTTACATTACAAGATTGCTGTGAAGATCAAATGAAGAAACATAAAACATAAAAATGTTTGGTAAACTGAATTGTACAGTATAAATAGAAAGTGGTGACAAAAGTAATTCATACCAATGCAGTCTTTAAAAGTATCCGAACCTGCCTACATGACTACTTCCTCTGTCTGAGATTTATCTCAAAAGTAGAATTAGATTTCTGTCTTAGCTGTAAAAATAAAGCCACAAAGGACATCATGCATGAAAGAGTAAATGTGAAACTCTGTGGGGGAAAATGGAAACTTCAGATATTACTAGGGCCTAGCTGCCAATGATGATTCTCTCAAGATTTTATTGGCAGGTTGAGTGAAAGTGCCAGAGCGGGGATGCACAGGCTGTAGTTTAATTAGTGTGATTTATAGCTAATGGTGCATCAGAAGGAACTAAGAACTGTGCCTTTTAATTTAAGGCATAGTACCTAAGACTGCTTCCACCAGATAAGAAAATCTTTCTTAGCAAACTCTAATATTAAATCTTTGCAGAATTTGTCTTGTTCTTTTGTATAAAAATCATGGAGCCAGGAGCTAAAATAACATCTAAGTTTCCTCTTTGCCTGACGCCATCCTTGTAAAATGTGACTTGCTTCTTCATCAGCAGCATGAAAACAAACTAATACACCACTATTCCTAGGTAAATAGAGCCACACTGGGAAGACCACTAAGGGAATATGGAGGCTCAAGGAGGCTAGTCAATTTATCCAAGGCCACACAGCAGAACTGGGACTGAAACTCAAATCTTCTAGTCCTAGTTTTATTCATTTTTTTTTTTTTCGCTACATTGATTCCAGACTTTCTTTTACAAGGGATTACTTTTCTCTGTTTTGTTCCTGACATGAACAGGTCCATGGCTGTCTCAGACTTGTTTGGTTACCCTAAGTAACCATTTAGCAGCCAATTTCTGATATGACTATAGATATACGTCTATAGTGAATTCTACAGGTGATTTGGCATGATCAAAATGAAAAGGCTTTGTTTGATTTCCCCAATAAACTCCTCAAATGAAAGCTTCTCAAGATATCATTTTGAGATATGGCAGGTCTTTCCTTCAAATACAACAGATACTTTTCTTTTGCAGCACTCAGCATACATACAACTATTTATCTGTAAGTACTTACTTAGTATCTGTGAGGCACATTGCAGGTACCTGACATATGTCTAACTGATGGAGTGAGGCTGCTAATGTGGCCATCTCTCCCTTTTCCTGAGAAGAAAGTGAACCAGCCATTTCAAAATGTGGAGAATTCGTTAAATATGTTCTACTCCTCTATAGCTCTCCCACTAAAATAATTTTCAGTTTTCAACTGAGGTGAAAGGAAGAAGCGGCAGAGAGATGGATTGAGAGAATTGTTTATATTCATAACTTTGTTCTCAACATAATTATCTATTTCTGAATCCTAAAATCACCTAGCTAGATTCTCCCTCAATCTGAAGATTACCTTTTACTCCTTGAGATGCTAAATGTGTTCCTATTTATCATATTAATATTGCAAGTATTTTGTGGTATGCAGCCAGAAAAATCACATAATGGGAAATTACCCACAGCCCCCAAACTCATAAACAGGAACTGAATAGAAATTCCTCAGTGCAATTTATGGTAACAATTTCATGCTCAGTTTAGCTACTTCCATGACTCAGAAAAGAAATTTCTTTTGCTTATTTCAGTACTTTTTATCTAAAAAATTGTTTCCCTAATTTTTGGCAAAGGATGTATGAGAAAGTGAAGAACTCCCTGGTTGTACATGAATTTGGAATTGTCTCTTAAGTGAGGCCAAAATATAACCCCATACCATTCATTGCACAGTACTATTTGCTATAAATTTGATCTCTAAAACAAAGATACTACAAAATCATTGAGTGTTTTTTAAGGGATATATGATATTTGTCATTTAGTTCCCAGTATTATGATGGAAAGCCTGGATAGTGGATAGAAAACCTGGAGGTCATTTAGGCATCTCCTTCAATGGTTCAGTGAGAAATGGTGAAGAAGATGGGAATGGAGAAGGGCCATTGGTAAGTGTAAATAAGAGTCTTTGCTGATTAATTCAGTATGGCCCATGAGAAAGAGTGGAAGTGTCCAAGGTTCCCTCAGGTTTCCAGCTTGGGCAACTGACTGAGAACAGAAAGGAGCTACCATTGAGAGGAAGAAAAGAAAATGACACTGAGTCCATGTTGGGACACATTGGGTTTAAAGGGATATCATTATGACCTAGGCTTTCTGAATTCCGGTGACTGGGAAGATGGGAAGATACATCTTTAACTATTGAAGCAATTTATACACCAGAGCCTAAGGAATATTTATAGATGAGGGCTGTGCTGCAGTGACAGATAGGGCTGTATGAAACATATACTAATCTGACCATTCTATCCTCCAGACTCACGGAAAAAATAGGAAATAATAAAAGTAAGCAACCATTAAAAATAGACCTTTATGCATAAATAAACAAAAATCAGCTAGGAGACAATTCATCCCTGTATAACTAAAACAGGCAAATTTATCTTTCCTCTGATTAATAATTTAAGAAGAAATCCCAAGCATGCTGCTTATGGAGGTGTAGGAGGAGATCCTATAATTAGACTCCAATTTGAACCATGAGGGTGAGGATCAGAAAGCTGACTCAGAGCCTGGTGTCAATTATTTGCAGTTTGTACAACAAAAGGCTAAAAATTTGGGAGATGCAGGATGACTGAAGCCCGATTCTGGGGGTTGTTATAGCACAGTAACAGGGTAAGTTTTTTTCCACTGTTATTTGCTGGAAAATTTATTCTCCATCTCCTTTAGTCTGTGCCTGAATTTTGTGGGACTTGCTCGAGAATGGTATTCATGCTTTAAATCCAAGAGCCAGGAATCATCACATTCCAACAACTTTCCTATTTATTTTAACCAAAATGGAGCTGGTTTCTATAAATAAATTTAAGAAATTATCCTCTTTGATACAATCTACTTATGTTTGATCGGTTTTAGAATAAACGAACAGATACACAAGAACTTATCAAGCTAGCTCGGTTCAGTGGAGAACTATAGCAGAAACAGCAGGTTTCTATTTGGCACATTTTGGATTTATCTGGACACAAGAGGATGTGAAAAGAACACCTTTCAGACAAAAGCCAGTCTTGAGTACGCATTTAATATTCCTTACCCAAACAGCTTAGTTTGTTTCCCATTTTCAGTTATTACCTGAATCCTTTTTTATCTCCTATGTAGAACAAATTCTCTCCCTCTATTTAATAGCCTTTCATATATGAAACAGAGTGAGAGAGAAAGAGGAAGGAAGGAAGGGAGGGAGGGAGGGAGGGAGGGAGGGAAAGAAGGAAGGAAAAGCTCTAATTTCTTCTGTTCTTTTGGTAACACACCTTCTCCCCTTCACATCCTTCAGCTGTTCCCCTTACGGCTTTCTGCAGACACTTCTGCTGGTCTCTCCTCTTCTGTCACACTCTGCTCACTACTGTACTTTATTTTGTATTATCTGTCTCCATCCTTTCCCAAATCCTGAGCACTCAGCCTCCTCTGGCTCTTTTCTGATTCCTTCGCTCCTAGAACTGTGTCTGGTTGGCTCATGAAGGCAAATGACAAATGTTTACCATGTGCACATGTATGTGCATGAATGAATACATCCAGGTTCTGACTTCCTCTGGGCAACCTCTACTTTGTCAATGCCCCTCCTATGATGGGGGTAGGGGAGAGTCCTCCTAGAACTGAACATGATATTCCAGGTGTGATCTAATACATTTAAATGTCCAAAAGCTCTTTCTTCCCTAAATGTTCCTTTTTAAAAGCTACTGTTCTCAATTAATGTGTGTCTCATCTTCTTAAGTATATTAATTAGAGGTATTTTGATGTTTCCCTCTATTCTTTGCATTATCTCTTGATTCTCTGGATTCTTTGTTATTGTTTTGTTTTAAGGATATCCTCAGGTGTCTGGTGATCCTTGTTTATAAGTCCAAATTAATAATGAGGCACTAAAATGCTGATTGGAAGCTCTCTGTGCAGGCAAGTATTGTTGAATAGTGGTAAACAGGTGATGTGTTCATTTTGGAGACACTCAAATATCAGGACCTATAAATCTCTATGCCAAGTCAGTTTCCCCAGAGTCTCTTAATATCATTTATTTCAGGTTAAAAGCCTGGTTACCAGGTTCTGGGAGTGAAGGGAGGAGAGGGGCTTAGACAAGTGTCGGGGCGGGGGTATGTCTCATAATTCACTAAGTACCTTCTTTTATATCTGTGTTCTCTGTGCAGCATTTTACCCCCACCATCATCCATGTCTGATGCCTCAGGTCCAATCTGGTTCAGTCTTTCCAAAGAGGAAACATTGGCTGGGTGGGAATGATTGGCAGGTTGAAGAGAGAATTTGAAGCTCTAGCTGCTCCTTTTAAAACTTCTAACTAATCTTTGTGTTTTCAGGACTTCCTCACATCCATGTCTTCAGATACCCAAGGCCTTTAATACTCGAGTCCTTCTTGGATTCTGCACATCTCATTAGCTTCATATTCCTGTAAGTACTTGGGTTTCTGCCTTCTCAGCTCTGATGTGTCATTTTCCAATCAATCATCAGCATTCCATCTTCCAAAGTTTTGTTCATATGTCTTACTTGTGTTGTCTTGACCAACTTCTTTTTGGATCTTAGACTTTTTACCTATTTAAATTCCTTAATTGGTACTTTAGTGGAGTTTTGGACAAGAACAAAAATATAGGCAGGTGTTTAACTTATCACATTTAACAAGGAACTCAAAATTTATATTTAATTCTATTTAATTTAATCTGGCTGCTTTCTTGCCATCAGTCTATTTGAAAAGCTCATATGGACCCAGCTCTGTCATCATCACATGTTCTATGTCCCCAAACCTTGTGACATCTGCAAAAAAGTACAGAAGACCTCAAGAGAAGATAAACTAGAATTTATTTTTATACCTTTTATTCAGTTTTTATTAAAGCTTTCCTGCCTTTCCAGATTGACACAGAATTATGCCATGAATCTGTCTATTAATCCATTTACAACAAGTTCTGGGGATAGAAATTAAGGTTTAAACATATAATTCTTACCATCAAAGGACTCCCTGTTGATTAGGGGACACAGGCAAGAAAACAGACAGTAAGTTTGTTAAGACATGAACAAAGAGCTGTGTTGGTATACACAGTACAGAGAGGAAGTACAAAGAGGATCGTGCTTAAGAAGAGGTAACACCTAGACCTAATCTTAGAGGATGAGGAAGCATTGGGTAGTCTAGAAGACTAGGTATAGGGATGAAGGAAGGCATATCAGAGAAAGGGGAGCAGCTACACAGAGGGAAGAATTATGCCTCTTCTGCCTCTGAAGAGAAGAAATTTCTTTCAATCAATAGAAAGTACAGGACAAAGGGGATGAAGTCATCTTTTGATGGGATAACTTGATGTTAGCATCCTTCTATGAGAAAATGGGAAGCAGCCCCTTATAATAAAATCTCTGGCTTTTGAGTTACCAAGTAAAACTGAGATGTCAGCATCCTTTGGCTGAATGTGGAACTTGCTAATAGGACCCCTACATTCATGGGAAGGGATAAAAGAGCTTTAAAATGTACAAAAGCATTGTGTGAATATATGGGATAATATTATTACTACAATATTGCCTACCACCACCATCCCCAGCCCTGAGAAATCTTCTTAAACTTACAAAATGAAGCTGCTTCTCTGTGGATGTAGACATTTCCTGGTTTCAACATTGCGCCATAGCTATGCATTATGTCAACATTGGGAAGAAGCAGGGTGGAAGATGCACAGGAGCTCTCTGTACATTTCTTTGAAACTTCCTTTATACCTTTTAAAAGTTAAAAAGAAGCAGCAATGGCTGCTTCTCAAGGCCAGAGATGGGGAGCTCTACTTCATTTGCATTTCTACTTAGGGCTATAATGAATTGAACTCAATGTGTTGCTAAAGATTATTATGAAATTAAAATCCAGTTAGGATGGTCTCCTGGGCCTGGTAAAAGCTTGGATTAGAGGCCAGGCACAACAAGGGGCTGGGGGAGAAGGAGTGCTCAATGGAAGTAGGGCTGAGTGGGGAGTTTAAAGCATTGGCCTCTAAGTATAGAAACTGCAGTACAAATTTTAAAATATACTCAGGATAGTTAGTATTTGATCAAAATCCACTGTGACGTGAGGAATTTTTCCCGCTGGGCATTCTATTTTCCAGTTCTGTGATCAAGTCCAGTGACTGGTAAATACAATATGCCCTACTAGCCCCCATCTTCTCCCAGCTCCTATTCCCTCCTGGTGCTGAAAGGGGGAATGGCTAAGAAATTCCAAGGCCTGGTCAGGAAAGTGATCTTGAAATCATACACAATGAATAGTGCCATCAGTAATGACTCCGGTTGTAAAGAACCAGTGAAGTGAGGAAATTCTTTCTATGCAAAGAATGTCTGGATATTTAGGCAAAATTGAAGGGGCTGAGGCAGGAATAACTAGGACAAACTCAGTAAGAACTTCAACCCTGGTTTTCCCAAGATCCAGTTTGTGTGCTGATCATTTTCTTTCATATCTAATTCCCTTACTTCCCCTGCTCTGTTTTATATCATAAAGGCTGAATTCATGCAAATTACATGGAATTTGCATGTAATTCAGAATTTAATTTGGAATTTGCTCCCTGGGAAAATGACTTCTGACTAGGTTCAGCCAATGGGAGGCACTAACAGGAGATTGGAGGGGTAGGAGGAAGGGAGGCATAAAGGGAATTTCTTTCCCCTCTCCGTTTCAGGTGTCATTTCAAGAATGTCTGTTTTTCCTCCATGATTTCTATAGATATTCCTTAATGTTCAAGTCTCCATTAGCATAGGTATGAAGATTTCTCAATGTGCTCTTGCTTTGGCTTCCTTTAATCAGAATAGAAAGAGAAAGTTTTTTGACTTTATTCAAACATATTAGGGGTTTGCTAGAGAAAACATTATTTGCCCCTAGTTATCTTGATATTATAAAAAGAGGCAGACCTGGACAAGTGTAAATTAGTACAGACATTCTAAAAATCACCAGACAAAATGCACCCAATAAGTAATGCCAATGCAAGAAGTTTTGACTGTAATGCCCGTGTGCAGTAGGCTGAATGATGGCCCCCAAGTATATCCATATCCTAATCCTAAGAACTTGTGAATGTTACTTACTATGCTGAAAGGGGCTTTGAAGGTGTGATTAAGAGTTTTGAGATGGGGAGATTTTCCTGGATTATATGAGTGTGTCCTAAATATAATCACACAGGTCCATGTAAGAGGTAGGCAAGGTCAAAGGAGGAAATAGAAGGTGAGATAATGAAAACAAGAGGTTGGAGGGCTGGAGGAAGGGGGTCACAAGCCAAGAAGCATAGGTGGCCTCCAGAAGCTAGAAAACGCAAAGAAATAGATTTCTTATAGATTCTTCACAGGGGACTTGCCCTGCTCACACCTTGACTTTAGCCCAGTGAAAACGATTTCAGACTTCTGGCCTCCAAAACTGTAAGAGAATAGAACTGTGCTGTAATAAGCCACTAAATTTGTAGTAATTTGTTAGAGTAGCAATAGGAAACTAATACAATGTCCCAAGATATGAAAAAAAAATTCTTTTTATTTAAACATGCCACCTGAATGTGAACATATTCCTCTTGCTTTAAAAATTCTACATCTAGGCTGTTAGCAAAATTCATACACAAATTCTAGCTTACTATAAAATAATCATTTAAGGAAGTGTACAAAATTTCTTTGCTTCAGATATCATAGTGCCTCAGATTCCCTTTCAAGACTGAAACACTTTCTACTCCAGATGCCCTTGGCTGAAGACAGCTTCTATTTAAACAGGTAAATGGTCTGTTTGCAACATGCAGCCTTTATTCTTATCTGCATGGCATACTCCTTCTCTTTGTTTAAAATTTGATAGTAAGTCTTTTATGATTTTGCTGCTTTAAGTGAAATTAATCATGCCCCCCTTTATCGTACTCACTCTATACCTCACATATATATATTCATTTTTGCATTTATGAAAATTATATCTTTTATGTTTATTATACCTGTTTCCCCTGCCAGCCTAAAACTTTATGGAGGAAGACATTATGTCTTATTTAACTGTGCATACTCAGCTCTTAGTACAAGTAAGTACCTAGTACATAATAAGTACTCAATAAATATCAATCGAATTGAATAAGAACACTGAGTTTAGGTTAAAAAAAAATCTCAGAAGGAATGTCAGAGAGTAAGTACACACTTACTGCTGGGGTGACCAGGGGCAAATTACTTAACCTTTCTGAGTTGGAAATAATGCCAACTACAATTACAAGACCATTGTGAAGATAAATAAGATGACACATGTAAAGAAGCTGTACAAAGTAGGGGTCTAGCCTGGGTGACAGAGCGAGACTGTCCATTCTCCTCATAATAAATGCCCATTCTCCTCATAATAAGTTGAAAATTAGTTTGCAACACACTTGCTCCTGCCCTTTTTTGTATTCAGGGTTTGGCAAGACCTTCCGAGCTAATTTAGGACAACTTAGTGTTTAGCTTAACTCTTTCATAGATTTGCTCTATTATCAATGTCTGATGATGTTGACAATGATGATGAAGAAGGAAGAAGAGGAGTTGGAGGAGGAGGAAGAAAACATCCAGAGCATTCAATTTATTCTAGTTAAATTACTAAGCAGAAAGACAATGGCCTAGGAAGTCTACTTTGTAATGATGTTTGGTTCTAAGTATAGAGCATCTAGTAGGGAGACATGTAAATCCTGTTTCCAAAACACACTTAGAGGATTAGAGCATGTGGAAGATTTGCTCCTCACCTGGCTCAGAGCTACCAAGGTCACATTGGCTGTCTAAGGACATGTCTTCTGGCTAGAATAAGCCCTGGTGAAATTTTACGTGATATCAGCACCTTTGCAGAAAGTAAGAAATAAACCACCTGAAATCTACACATTAAAATTCAGCCTGTGTTGGTCTCATCAAATTTGGCTCTGTTAGAGAATTGAATTCACAGCAGGAAAGAGAAAAATGTATGTTCTTTTCTCAGTATAAATTAGAATGTAGAATCATCATTGTTTGCCCCCAATGCTAAAAGCTTTCATATGTGATGTTGTTGTTGTTGTTTTTTTTTTTTTTTTTTTTTTTTTTTTTGGTGTGGAATCTTCGCTGCGCAGCTGGACCTCAGCTTGGAGCCACAAAGCAATGACTGCAGATCATGCAGGAGGGTATCTATCTGGCAATAAGCTGCACTTGTTTTGTTTTTTCTCTGCTTGCTCTTGAAAAGGGGGAGAGGAACAACCTTTGAAAGCTAATTATTCACTTTGAGAGATGATTAAGATGTGTAGTGCTCATGTGCATATTTGAAATGTAGAGGTGTGGTTTGTCTTTGTTTTTTTGAGATGGAGTCTCTCCCTGTTGCCCAGGCTGGAGTGCAGTGGTGCAATCTTGGCTCACTGCAACCTCTGCATCCTCGGTTCAAGCGATTCTCCCACCAAAGCCTCCCAAGTAGCTGGAATTACAGGCGTGTACCACCACACCTGGCTAATTTTTGTTAATTTTTAGTAGAGATGGGGTTTCACCATGTTGGCCAGGCTGGTTTCAAACTCCTGACTTCAAGTGATCTGCCTGCCTTGGCCTTCCACAGTGCTGGGATTACAGACGTGAGCCACTGTGCCTGGCCTAGATGTGTTTTTTTTAAGTGTGTTGTCTTAATGTCATTGTGGTATGATTCAAAATTAATGACACCTGAGGGCAGCCCTTCTGTGTATAGTGTCATATCATAAGTGTGGTTGTCACTTCCTCCCAGCTGATCTCCCTTTGATAAGACTAATAAGTCATATTTTGGGTTTCCTTATTCAGACCCTTTTGTTGAGTTTCATATCCCACCAAGTTGTACATTACTAGCTCACACCGTCTAGCTTTTATATATGCTCTCTTTTAATTATTTCAAAAGCTCTTTGTGGAATATAGTCTTATTCCACTGTACATATGTGAAAACTAAGGCTCACACTAGTTGTGAAATATGCCCAGTCACACAGCTAGAAAATGTTGGTGGCAGAAGTGGAACCCTGATCTAATAACTTTATAGTGTTGTACACAACTTCATTCAGGTATACAAAATGGCTATCAATATGAGAAATTACCTGAACAACAAAGAGAAGACAACGACTTTTCTGTCATAGGCCCAATTATCATGATAATTTAACATCCATGGAGGCTGCATCATATCTAAATGTAACAACTACAAACTGAAGAAACCTGCCATGGGAGTGACAAAAGTGGATTTGGAGTGAATCTCCCTTGCTGTTCTCTCCTCCTCCAGAGATAGAAGACACAATTCACAAATAGACCATCTTTCAAATGCAAGCAACAATCCCTCCTCTCTGCCTCCTGTGTCCATATATAATTCTCTTAAACAGCATCAATCTCTTTTCTATGCATGTTACTATCTGTATGCATTTTTTCTTGGTCCCAAATTAAATTTATTTCGTCTGTAAATGCAAGCAGGCTACACCTTGGGCCCCTGAGAATTCCTAGATTTATAACTATCACTGTACATGTCATATCCATGCATAAAGTCCAGTAAAGTATTAATCACTTCATTTCCATCACAGGAAGAATTTCTCTGGGGCCATTTCCCCCAAGAAATACATACATTTTATCTGTCGATAAAGTGACCACACATGTCCAAGGAGCACAAAAATAAATCACATTAAGGGTTGGAAGTTAGATTTTTTTATTTTTATTCTTTATTTTTAGATGGAATCTTGCTCTGTTGCCCAGGCTGGAGTGCAGTGGCGCGATCTTGGCTCATTGCAACGTTTGCTTCCCAGGTTCAAGAGATTCTCCTGTGTCAGTCTCCAGAGCAGCTGGGATTATGGGCATGCACCACCACACCTGGCTAATTTTTTTATTTTTAGTAGAGATGGGGTTTCAACATGTTGGCCATGCTGGTCTCAAAATCCTGACCTCAAGTGATCCGCCTGCCTCTACCTCCCAAAGTGCTTGGATCACAGGCATGAGCCACCACGCCTGGCTGATTTTTTTTTAAATTAGTGAATATTAAATTTTGAAGTGCTGAATTTATTCTATTCTGTGGATAAGACTGGCTGCCCACTAGTCTGGAAGTTCCTAAAGCAGTGATTGTGTTTTTTCCATGCTATCGCCACTTCTCACCCAATCTGGTTCTTTGCCCCCATTCAAGATAAAACTTTCACCAACCAAGTTAAAGGATGATTTGGACTCTGTCATGGAGCTACATTAGGATTAGAATAGTATCAGAGAAGGTGCCTTGAATGATTTAGCCTGGCATTCGAGGTCAATTTGATCTGCCCTCCACTTTCCTATTTTATCTCCTCCTGACAGCCTTCCTGATAACATTCCAAGTGCACCAAGTGTTTTCGTACAAGCATACCTTGTACTTTCCCATTCATAGTTCTTTTAGTTTTATTTTTTCTTCCCCTTACAGTGATGCTTCTTCTCTCTTGACATTCTTAACAATCTTCATGACTTAGAACAATTACCATTTTCTCCTCCTGAGTCCTCAGGTCCAAAAGAAGTCACTTCATTTTTTGTATAGTTACAAAGCACTCCGTTATGACATTCAGGCATTTTGATGTATTTTGGTTCTATGTGTGTACTCTTTCTCCTGGAGGACCCACTCTAGAAGGATAGGAGACACATCCTAGCTATTGCTTTAACGTCTAATACCCCAGCAGAGAGTCCTGTGTGAGCGACTTAAAAATGTCTATAGAAATAGAGTAATTTTATTTAATGCATGGCAGCATTTTCTTAGGATATTGCCGAATGAGGTTACTGCATGCTAGTAACAATTAACATATTCATTAGAAGATGATCTTAGTCCCAGAATTTGGCTGTGTGGTCATCTTGGGGACATCTAGAGATGGGGGCATGGATAAGATGTCTTGGGGATTGGTCCAGGTGCAGGACAAGAGAAACAACTATCACAAATAACTGTCCATTCTGTAGCAGGGTGTTGTAAGATTCCAGTCCATGTGAGAATGAATGGTTGCCTTCATGCCCAGTGGCATGAAGTAGATGCTTAATAAATGAGGTACCCCTTGTGCTCCCACACATCCATCCAGTGCTTCTCTCCATCTTGTATTGTATACAATCTCCAGTTGTATTGTAATGAGTGGCCTCTCTGTGACTCATTACTAAAGACTAGGGCATGACAGTTTAAAAACATAATCTTAACACCTGGTTCAGTGCCTAGCACATAATCAGCCCTAGATAAACAGATATTTATTGAAAAAATGAAGAAAATAGTATAAGAAGAAAAGAATGAAAGACAATAAACATGAACATGGAGGTTTCCTAATCAGCTTTTTGAAGAATATTCATTGGACTCATTGTGGAGATTATGAGCATTATGATATAGGCATGGTTACTGGCTTCACTGTAATATTACTCAGACTTTTCTGTTCAGAAAAGGCTAAATTTCAGGGAGAGCACTTGTCAGAGTGCTTATATTGGGTCAGCTGGGACACGCTTGGGAGCAGATGGATTAACCACATTCCCTGCTCAGACCTCAGTAGCACCTTCCCTATAACCCTGAGAGTTAATGTGTATATGTACATGCTTGTATAGATTTAAAAGAAGCAATAATATAAATTCTGAGGAAAGTCTGAAGATATTTGATGTTATCATTTACATTGTATTCCTTTAAAGGGAAGAGAAATTTTAATTGAGAGTGTTTAGGCCAACTGAGAGCTCTGGAAACAGCTCCCCACACCCATATACCATGGCCTACCAACCCCTCTCCCATTCTTATTGCCAAAGTTTCATTCTCCAAATTCATATCCAAAAGGACCTATTCCACTGCCCACAATATGTATTTCTTTTCCCTGAATTGCTATCACATACTGCTTTACTGTTTCAGCAGTAGGCTGTTGGCATCATAGTGCTCTGGGGAAGTTGTGCTAATCCAAGTCCTGACATCTCCTCAAAGATGCCGAAACAGTGCAGTAGGAATTCTGCAGGTGCAACTTGAGCCTTCTAGGAAAGGCTGTGCCACAAAGGCACCCTGGTCAGCACCCTGCTCATCTGGCCATAACATGTCTGAGATTGCGCAGGTCAGGGAACATCTTGCAGCACTTGCTAGTTTTGTAGAGAACTCAGAAATGTTAACAGATGGCATGCAGAACACAACCCTGAACAGTCAGCAGGGTGACACTCATTAAGAGTCATCACTGAATCCATTTCCAACAAAATCTCATTCCAATGAAACATCACTTTCCGAAAAATGTCAATCTGCTTAAATGAAAGTGACTACAGGGTACTATAATGCCAGGCCTGGTTGAATCCCTGCAGGCAACAAGGACTCTTTTAGAGCCTCAGGGCCTTTCCACCCATAATTTCCTCTCCAACGTGGGTCCTGATCAGATTCCTCTCCAGCTCTATTAGCCTCTGCAGATGAGACAGAATGCCTGGTAGCACTCAGAACTTCTCCTCCTGAGCCTGACATTCATTCCTCTGCCTACTTTTCCTCCCTAGTAGAACACTTGTGGAAGCCGGAGGGAGGAATGAGTAGAGGAAGGATATAGATAACTTGTTGTTCCTCAAGTCAGAATTCCTTCCACAATGGAAATGTATTTATTCTTACCCTTCTTCAAGTATATGACCAATTCATTCTTCAAGAAAAGTCATTTCTTCTCTCTCCCTCTATTGATTCCTAATGGGACAGATTGATCCCAATGCAATCTGCTAATCTACATTTTGTTGCACTTTAGGCATCACTAATGAATTAAAATATTAATTTGTGAAACTAAAATCAAGTGCACACAACACCAACACTTGGTGATGATGCTTAGGTTGCCAACCCCTTTGCTTAGCACTCACTGATGCAGAGGCCAACATCTCCCTTTCTACCACTTGCTGCCCTCCACCCCTACTAAAAGGTAGGACCTCCAATAGTCATGATTTTCACACTTTCAGGTCTTCTCCCTACAAGGCCCTACTCAGTCATCCAAGACCCAGTGCAAATGCCATCTCCTCTAGTCAACATTCCATAAAGCTTCAGTCAGCAAGAGTTGCTGTCTTATCAGTGTTTCCATATCTCTTTATTATAACATCTAGATTAAAACTTGCCTTATTCTGTCTGTAATTTCCTGCTGCTACAACTCCAATGAAAATGTATTAAACACACCTAGTGCCTGGCACAATGAATCAATTGGATGGCTTAACAAAATAGACATCTTGAATTGATTCCCCTAGCTCACTAACTCCACCACCAGGAGTGAGGTGAAAAATCACATGAGTGAGGCCGTAACACTGCTTAGATGAAAGGCTGGTATCCATTAGTTGGTACATAGCCTAGGAGCTAAGAGACCTTGGTTCTAATCCCACTTCTGGCACTAATATTTTCCCCAAGCTCACACCATGGTAAACCAAAGGTATCAGTTATCTACTTACTTGGTAAATGTTATCAATAAACTTTGTCATGGTTATACCATTGTTTACCAGTAGTCCATGCTTTATTATAGTGTCTATTCTTAACAATCCTCTTCTTGCTACCAAAGTCATTGGGCCAAGAGAATACCAATAGTTGCCTATAAAAAAATAAACTCAGATTTCTTTCATGAACACATATACCAAAGAAGATATGGCTGCAGAGGAAGGAAGACATGGCTCGGCTGTGTGACTCTGGGCAAGTTACTTAACCACTGTGGAATAAGGATAACAGCCAAACCAGCCTTGGCTGCATGGTTATGAACATACAAGAGCTAAATTCTGGAAAACACTTAGCAGGAAGTGCTCCCACAATATCAGCTATTTCTATTACTGTCTTTAAATTTTAGTCCAGCCTTATAATGTTTCCTGATTCTTATTTGTTTATAGTGAAATCCTAAGAGATTTTAAACTGGATACTTTCTATATCTAATGGGCTTTCTGAAAAATTATATTTTTATTTTCCTGTTTTCTTAAGAAGGATGGAAACAAATATATAGAGACTTTGTTATTTCTAATAAGTGCTTCTTTACTGTAATAATCTAAATCTTCAACAGATAGATGAGAAAAGAAAAATTCTTGCCAAAAATGATCAGTCCAAACCTTAATTATGTTAATTATATCTAACTGTCAGCAAAGAGATCAAAGGTTAAGTCTGTTCTCTGCTTCAAAGAATGATAATGATAATAAACAGTTATTCTTAGTAGCTAAAGGATATTTTGCAATTGTAACTGACACCATTTGACTTTCATTTTTTATAAGCAAATTGATTTGCAATGAATTTTCATGCTCGAAACAATAAGTGCTTTTAACTTAGTAAAATTCACTTTTGCCCAGCACGACTCACATTCCTATTCACAATTTGCTCTGCTACTTGAAAACATTGCTTGAGCAATAAAACAAAGAACTTGGAAAACCAGCTTATCTTTTGGAAAGCCCTGGAATTGCATATACTCTTCAGTTGTCTGCATTTTAAGCACCTTAAAGAAGTTTTACCACTTCTCTAGGGGTTTCTTCATGCTTTCTAGTATTGAGCATTTACAATGTACCAGGAGCTATACTGAATGCCGTAGGTAGCAATTTATCTCAGTTGTTCTGCCAACAATCCTGTGGTGTATATTAGCATCACCCAGTTTATAGAAGTAGACACTGGCTGCAGGTTACATAGGTGGAAACTAAATGAAGAATCCCAGATCGGAAACCAGGTCCTCCTGTCCAGACATGGTACTCTCACTTACTGTCTTGTATTGCCTTGGCTGCCCATAATATTCTGTACTTCTGTATCTCAGTGCCTGTCATAGTTCATAATACATATAAGGAACACAATAATGATTGTGGGATAACAGTCATTATAATGGCCAACACGTTTTAAGCATTTACTTTTGTCATCAAATGTTCTAAGAACTTTACCTGTGTTAACTCATTTAATAAGTCTATAAGGTAGGTACTATTATGCCATTTTACAGATGAAGAAACTAAGACACACAGGGACTAGTTAATAGTTAATAAAACAGAGAGATAGAGATTGAGGGAGAGAGAGAGGATTCTTGGACCACACCCAAACCAGAGCATCTGCAGGAGGCCAAATAATCCTCTCTGCCCATAAATAAATAATACAATTGCACTCCATCTCTTTTTGCTTACTCCTTTACCCTGCTTTACTCCTGAATCTTTGAGCTAAATTCTGGAAAATTTGGGTGATTATTTCCCCCTGGTCCTATAAGGCTATTCGCCTGGCAGGCCAACTCTTACTCATCCAGTCTGGCATGTCAATGGGGCTCTCTGTCTGTCTTTGTGTGCAACCCTGGTGATGTAGGGATTACCCTCATGATATAGACAAGGAAGCTGGAAAGCAGAAAGGCTAAGTAAGCAGCTGAGCTGGGATTTTGTAGGAGACAGTCTGGCTCCAGAGCCTGTCCTTTAATCCACACACTACAAGAACACGTCCTTCCTGAATTCCCATTTGCATGTGTAATCCCATACTAAACTGTATTGTATTATATTGTATTGATCTTATACTAATTTGTATTGTTATGTAATCGTTTCTAAAATACAGCCCATTTGATTATAAAGTGTTTAAGGGGTCATGCCATTCTTTTCCTTTTGTGGCCCTCAGAGTGCCTATCTCAAAGCTATTATTTGCTGAATCCTAAATTGGAGGTTCTGTCCCAGACTGGAATGTCTGCTCAAGCACTAACTTCTGATGACTGAAACTTTACAAATAAATATTGTATAGCCGAGAAGACTAAGACACAAAAAGATTGTTCTGGAGGGTAAATAGAGGGTCATACTTTTAGAGAAAGAAAGTGTGCAAAAGGATAGGTGGTTTTTGTGTTTTGTTTTGTTTTGTTTTGTGTGTGTGTGTGTTTTGAACATCTACTGTGTCTCTTATTGTTGAAAAATAAGACATAACCTAGCCCTTAGGAGCTCTTAGCCCAGTGGGAAGAATACACAGAAACAATAACATGTAATAACATGGTTCAGATTCTGTGACAGAGACGCTATGGAAGAGGTCATAAATCAGCAGACTGCCAACCATGTGACCAACAATTATGTTCCCTTTTATTTCACAGTGTTTTCAGAAATATGAATCAAGGGTTAACGTTTAAAAATTTAAAATTTTACAACAAAATCCACATTAGTGGCTACCCAAAAAGTGAAGTTTGATGCCATTGAACCCCCGTTCCTGCGTGGCCACCATCAGCCTGAGTCCAGTAGCTGCTATCTCCAGGGGTGGTATGTGCATATATTTTTATAGATGTTCCCATGTTTCTTTAACAATGTTTAGGACACTTACCTATAGTCATTTTCTACAAGAAGCACATATGATATAATACTTCACCTTGGTAACACTGCTCATGTGACTATAGATAAAGTCACACACTAACATTTAAGGTGACATAAGTAAAAATTATCAGGGCAGTACAGACAGGAGGAGAAAGACTTGAGGTAAATAAGGGGGTGGCTGATGGAAAGATAAACAGAAAGGTGATAAAATTGTACTATTTGACCTCTTTCCCTCCTCCCATCTTGGTCTCCCTCCCTCTGTCCCTCATCCCATCTCTCCCCATATGTACACTTCTTATGACTCCCCCTTAATAATAATATCCACAACCCTATATCAAGCACCTGCTTAGTGTTGGAGATTATACTAAGTTTTGTGAACAACAACCTGCAGACTGATATTACTCTACAACAAAGATGTGTTTTTAAGATTCCAGTCATCATGTTCTTTGCATGATGCCCTTTGTTCTGCTTGTAGTAATAGAAAATTCAAACACCAAATATACCTCTTCTGCTTTGCACGAGGTTAGTGGGAGACAACCTTGTTCTGTGGGGGATGTGCTGGCTCTGGGGTAAAAGCATTTGCATTTAAATCCCACCTATAACTCCGAATTAGTGCAATGATCTTGGGTGAGTTATCCAACCTCTCTCCTGCTTAAATTCAGGATCTATTAGATGAGAATACAATTATTATTCATATAACTATTCATAATAACTATTTATATAGTTGTTATGGAGACAAACTCTCCATAGGATGCCCATGTAAAAGACCGTAAGCATCTACTATTCCTATCATTTTTCAGATAAAATAAAAAATAAATTGAAATAACAATGAAGGAAATATCCACAACAATATATTATTAATGGGTAAAGAAATTAACATTTGTGGAGCACCTACTATGTGCCAGATAATATATATTTTGTCTCATTTAATCCTCATTATACTACAGCAAGTTAGATTTTATAATATTAATTTTTTTTTGTTAGAAAACAGCAGCAGAAAGAAAGTACTTTGCCACTTATGACTCTAATAGGAGAGCCAGATTTGTATGATGCCAAAGCTTATGTCCACTGGCTGTGACCCACAGCTTGGAATAAGGACAAGGGCAACTGCAGTGCTCAAGGCAGCTTTTACCCTGGACTCTGAAGGGCACTGCAAGAGTGCCTCAATGCTGGGGTTCAGTAAATCTGCTACACCTTACACTTCTGATTCAAGACAGAAATTAAGACATAGTGACCTCCTATTGGGGGCAGATATGAAGGTGACTGACAAAGCATCAGGACAGAGTAAATGAATCATTCATATAAATGACAACATTAACACATGCCCTGACATGTTCATCTCTCATCCTCATGCCTACTGTGAAGAGGCAATGTTTGTATCTCTACAGGACATTTGTATTTTAATATACTTGGAGTGAGTTTAATATACACATGTATTGAAAAATGTCTTCAAAGATGGTCATTGCAGATATAATGTATGTGTGGCACATAGTAGAAGCTTGCCAGGTATTAACTGAATGAATGAATGAAAGTTCACTGGTTTTGTTCTGCCAGACATTCATTTGCAGATTGTATGCTCTGGCTCAGGGGTCACCCGGGCCATAAGCCATCTGTGGGTTGGTAATACTATTAACCTTAATGCCTACCAATTTTTTTGGTAAGGAAACGGAAGCAGAAAGAAAGTACTTTGCCACTTATGACTGTACTGGACAGCCAGATTTGTTTGACTCCAAAGTTCATGTCTACCCACTGTAGCCCACAGCTTGGAATAAGGACAAGGGCATCTGCAGTGCTCAAAACAGCTTTCACATCAGACTCAAAGATGGCCTGAATTATCTATGGAAATAATACATGCTTTGAGGCAGGTCCAAATGTCTTTCAAAGTCAATACAGATTGAAAGTGGCTCTATCTGCAAAAAGCAAGCACTGTATTGAAACTTCACTATCTGGCTCCAAAACACGACCCCCAGCTCTTTCCCTCTCTAATCTCAGAATTATCTACCTTGTCAGAAATCTCATGGAAAGGAAGCAGAGTGTTATATTCTCTTGGACCAATATAGAGAACTTTAAAAACGGGAATAATTACTTCTAAGGAACCTGCTATATTTCTGGCTCTGTGGAATGCATCAATACATTAACTCATTGAATCTCCCACAATTAAATGTGAGCCACATGAGGAGAATATTTGTCTCTTCGATTTACCTCTGTACTCTAAGAACCATTCCTGGCACATACGAGATGCTTGTTCTGGCTCTTGCTACTGGTCCTCTGCATTGTTCCTTAACTCTGCCACCCGCACGCTTCCCACTGTATCACAAGAGCAGGAAGCCTGAGAACTATATGCTCAGAATCTTTAGTCGGTAGAATTGCAGTTTAGATTCTCTTAACCAGAGTAACTTCCGTAAGCTCCAGGACGTTAAAGGGAAGTAGCAGACTGGCACAGGATCACAGGATTTTGTGACTGTCAGCACTGCTCTAGTATCTTACAGTTTCCTCATACTCTACAGTCCACTGTTGGTCTCTAGCTTCAGGGCTGGAAGAAACTGTGGCTCAGGAAATGGCTCCCTGAGGTTACCTGATTTGGTGGTAGTTGCTTCCATCCCTAACTATCAGTCTTCAAACAGTTTCTAAGCACATTATTACCCTGAATTACACTGCTTTCTTCTGAAAATAATAAAGGTGCTATCTATTTTCCTGACTGATTTAATGTTCAATAAATATATGTTAAATAATTGAGTAAACCACCCATTCGGTGGGCATTATTATCCCTGCCTTGCAGTTGTGGAATTGAGGTTCCCAGAGACAAAATAATTTAAAATTATACAGCAAAGTATTAAATGTCAGATCTGAGAGTAGAGCCATGGACTGTCCAATTCCCAATGTGCTTTTGCTTTTTCCATTCAGGGACTGCTCTCAGTGGGTATAATATACCACGTTGCTGTCAAAATCTTATCTCAGAGGTTAAGAGTTGTTTGCACTCTTCCTCCTGCCAGAGTACCATTGCAGCTGAAAACCTCTCTATACATAGGCAAAGGACATTCATTTCCAAGACAAGTGGTTTATTAAATATATATTAGGCCTGGTGAGACACCCTGTTAAAAACATACATTGTATCTGCAGTAACATTGCAGATATAATGTATGTGTGGCACATAGTAGAAGCTTGCCAAATATTAACTGAATGAATAAATGAATGAAAGTTCACTGGTTTTGTTCTGCCAGGCATACATTTGCAGATTGTATGCTCTGACTCAGGGGTCACCTGGGCCATAAGCCATCTGTGGGTTGGTAATACTATTAACCTTAATGCCTAGATGCCTCCCATAGTTCAGCATAGTAAGAATACCTCAGAAATTCCTAGGTACTGACATAAGGCTGTTGATTTTCCTTGGAAACCTCAGTTGTCAAGGGCATTGTAATTCTGAGGCAGATAGAAATAAGAATTCATCCATCCCTACATTCCAAATAAGATTGAGGCACTGAAAACTATTAATCTGCCTTCATTGTAATGTATTAAAAAGACTATCCAATTTGGAACCAAACTGATCTGGGTTTTCATCCTGATTCCTGCTACTTTCTAGATCTGAAATCTTGGGCAAGCTGTTTCTGTGACCTCAGTTTTTTCATTTATATAATGGTGGAGATGATAGCTCTCTTACAGAGCTTACTGTAAGGATAAGCTATTGTAGACAGAAAGCATCTAGCATAGCATCTGGCCCATGTTATGGATTCAGTGAATGAAAATAGTACTGTCTTCACTAACACCAAGAAAGAGTCTGTTGACACATAGGCTGTCATCCTGCAGGCTGGTCCACATTAGCCAACAAGGCTCTCCAGTCCCAAATAGGCAGCAGTGGTATGGAAGGATACTTAACAGCATGTTTTTTACTAGAAAGGTTATGTAGTTGCAAGAAATTAAATGTCTGCATATTTTGTAAGCTTCACGGTGTCTGATGCCTTTGGGTGGAGGGGAGTGGGAATGGCTGGCAGAGAGTGGGTAGACCAGAATCGTCACACCTCACTTTTTTTTTTTTAAATGAAAGTCAAGATTAGACTTACTGAAAGAATCTGGGGGTGGACAGGTAGAGTTGGGTGGCTTTTGCATGCTGGGAGGTAGTAGTTAAAACTGCAGGGATGAATGAGGTCATGGTTGGTTTGGAATTAAATGAGGGAAAACCAAACCACACTTGACTTCAGAAAACTCAAAGTACTAGTCTCTAGCTTGGTGCTTGGGATACAGCAGATGCTCAATGAATATTTGTTGCATTAAAAAGCATAAGGTTGAAGAGTACATCATCCTTCCTTAAAATGTCTGTGTGTCTAACTTATGATCCAGATTCATTTTACCTTTGAAAAGCTAACTGACGTCTATGTGCTTCATAAAGATTCCAAATCTCTCATTCTGGAAAGGTCCTCTTCTGAAAGCTCATCAAGCCAGCACTAACATTTATTTAGCATTTAACTGAGTCCTGGAAGACACTATGAGTTTTTTCATTCTACTTACATATCTTAAGACTCAACTAGAGTTTGAGGACAGAGACCACGTTTTTTTGCATGGCTGAACATTTCTTAGTATCTAGCAGAGTGTTTGACTATAGCAAGTGCTCAATAAATAGCAATCTGGCACTTGATTAACCAACCAATATTAAAGTATTGTTAGGGAGGAAAATCAATAGAATGCCTTGAAACCTTAGATGTGTGGAAAAATGAAGAGTGTGCCTGTGAGAGATGACTGGTACTCATCTTGAAAAAAAGAAGACTTAAGAAGCCTTAGAAAGAGGGGCCAAGCTACTGTAAAATAGAACTGGGCTGTGAGGGAGAATCTTGCATGGAAGAGGCTGGTAGAGTTAGTTCTAGGAGAGGAGAAATGGGCTGTCTTTTATTCTTCAACTATGCATGGGTTGCCTTCTTATGTCAAGTAGTGTGCTAGGCAATGGAGAGATAACAGTGAATAAGGCACATCATCTGGTCATAAGGGCTTTACATTATGCTATAAGAGTTAAACCAGCAAACAATCAACTATAACATAGTATCACAGAATACAGCAATATAGAGTACAAATGGGGGTTATACTTTCTAAATATTAGATTATCTCTTATGTACTCTCTCTTTCTGCAGGGATGACCTGAGGGATTCAACAGATATTGTGATTCGGGGGTTAAGCAAGCTCAAAGGAAGAGAGATCACAGAGAATTTCAAGACTATAGAGCTTACCATTTTCTTTTATCTTTTTAAATGTTGATTTAACTACAATAATAAATATTCAAACCATTCCATATGTCCTAGAGAAAAGAAAGGCAGATCAGACATGCCCCTTGTCAACCACTAGGCAACTTGTCTAAGGAAAAATGAATAATTTTTACGACCATTGTGGAGATTCTTGAGGTTTTTTTTTTTTTTTTTTAGAGAATGGGGAATGCATTATGATAGGAGCATGAGATTGGAGTTCTCTGTCAGCTGTAACAGTTAGGAGTCAAAAAGACAAAGAAGTGACATATACAAGGGTGCATTGGAATTGGAAGATAAATAAAGGACTATCACATTCCATGGGGATTTTCCTCAGGTCCCCTCCAACTTGACCCACTATCTCCCCCATGATTTTTTTTTTTTTACAAACATGAATGTCAAGTTCTCTGCTTCCTGTCTTCACTAGCATTATTTTCAAGATTAGCCCCTTTCATTTGCTAGATAGATCTCATTATTCAATAGTTTTTTATACAGAACCGAAACATTTTAATTCCCCCACCATGAGATCTACTTCTGCCCTCTGCAGTTATAAAATAAATTTATAATCTCTTATCTCCTTGAAGGCTCTCTTGTATTTGAAAGTTATTGTATTTGTTGTTCTTATCCCTTGAAACTAGGCAGCCATGGTTTCTTTAACTTAGAAGTCCCTAACCCCTGGTCCGTGGACTGGTAGGGGTCCACGGCCTGTTAGGAACTGGGCCGCACAGCAGGAGGTGAGTGGTGGGTGAGTGAGCATTGCCGCCTGAGCTCCACCTCCTGTCAGATCCATGGTTGCATTAGATTCTCACAGGAGTGCAAAGCCTGTTGTGAACTACACAAGCGAGGGATCTACGTTGCCTCTTCATGTGAGAATCTAATGTCCGATGACTGATGATCTGAGATGGAATAGTTTAATCCCAAAACCATTCCCCTTACCCACCCCATCCATGGAAAAATTGTCTTCCACGAAACCAGTTCCTGGTGCCAAAAAGGTTAGGGACCACTGCTTTAACTCATTTTATCCAGTAAGATTTCTAGACTTCTGTTCCCTACTTGGTTACCCCTTGAAACAGCTTAATTGTAACTATCTAATAAAGTGACCCTTCTACCAAGCACAAGACTCTACCATGAGCTGGAAAGAACTGATACCCAAGAGAGGTCCCATGGCTTGCCCAAAGTCACATTGCTGGTAAGTGAAGGGGGCAAAATTCAAAACCTGGGCTTTGGCCTTCTGTGCTAGTTCTCATCCAACCTCTAAATACAGAGAAAGAATGAAGTCCTTTTCATTCCCTCTCCAACAGATCTTAAACGACACCATACTCTCATTCCAGCCCCATTTGCCAATAGTCTGTGATCTTCCTCCAAACCCAGGCATACACTGGAACTGGCCTGGGCAAACTGCGATGTATAGTCAACACTTTTATCTTTACTTAGGCGTGTTTGCCTTTGAATAATTAAAGTTGCATGTATTCATAGACATAAGCCAAGACAATGAAATATATAAAAATATGAATAAAGGAGATTTATTTTAAGGAATAATTTCTTAAAATATGCTTTTGTCTTCTGTCTACAATGAAGTTTAGATAACCTTTTCTTAGTGTATCCAACAAGTTTTCAAGTGCATTTTTCATTCATTTGCCCTTTGAAATGGACTTATTACCATTTAATGGTGATAAGCAAACTCTGTCCTACCTACACTTATTATAGCTGTCTAAGGATATGACATTCAGATTGACATGCATTCCTGGAGGGTTGTGAATATGCAGCTGGCATGATGTTAATAGATTTTCTCATTCACTTGTAAACAATTCTGTTTTTATTTCTCTCGATCCCAAGGTTTGGATTGAACTTTTGTTTTCTAGTCTTAAAGGAGGAATTTTATGTGAGCTTCACAAATACTCATTACCTGAATATAAAGGTCTCGGCATGGTAGTTGGTCCAAAAATGCAGCCAGCTTGTTCAAACTCCTTTTCAATTCAGAAAGCCATGCTAAGGAAATTAGTGATGTTCTCTCCAGAGGTGGCTAACTTCCTTCTAGTTGGTCTAGGTCTTGCTACTAATCATGTAAAGAAATTAAAGGAAGAGGGAAATGATAGCTCCTGGCTGCCAGTCACTTTACAATTTTCTGGGGAAATGAAGAAAAAAAAAAAAAAGGCAAAAACAAAAACAAAGAAACCAACCAAACAAAATGATGGTGCTCAAGCTGATGTTCACGGAAGCAATGGCTATGTCTGGTATCACAGACATGGTGGATATTGAAGCAGGGTCAGATTTATGTAGAAATATCCAGTTGTCAATTTGCCAAGAAAATCTATTTTCAATTCTTCCTCTTCAAGCTCATCTAACACTCTTCTCTAGACAGACAACACATTTTATAGCTTAAGAACAAAAAGCTATCAGTAACAACTTTCTGTTTCATAGCTCCATACTTTTGTATAGGCTGCTCATTCTACCTGGGATAGCCTTGCTTCTTTAAAATACTGCAGAGATATTAGGAGAAGTTTTCCCTAGCCCTACTAAGTAGAGGTAAACACTCCTTTCTCTGGGTTACCTCTGTACTTTTTTAACACTAATATAATTGTACTCATATGCTATAATTGTAATTTAAATTACAATAAAATAGAAGAAAAACTATATATGCACACACATATGTGTGTATATGTATATATACATACATGTATATGTATGTATGTGTGTGTGTATATATATGTTTTTATGCTAGACTGTGAGCTTCTAAAGCTCAGGAACAGTTATTAGCTCAGCACCAAATTACTAGTCCCTGGTAAAACTTAGAAGGCAATACATGTTTGCTGAGTTTAATGAAATCTCCAGGGAGCAAAAGTTTCTTCTTTATTTTATGGCCAAAGAATCTACTGGCCCATCAAAATCCTCTAGTGAAACATTTTCCCAATCCTGAGCTTGCATTAATTGATCTGTTTATTCACTGAACCCTACTACTGTGTGCCAGGCAGAGTGTTATGTTAGGTCTTAGGAATATAGCAGTAGGCAAAACAGACCGGGTCCCTCTCCTCACGAACCCCCTCTCCCTACTCACACTCTTCCAAATTACTCATTTCTATTAATTTACTGCAAAACAATATTCTCACCTCTAGCAATAACTTTTCAATTCAGAAGGCCATATATAAAAGCAAATTGATACTGAGTATGTTTCTGCTGAAAGGTCTATAAAGAAACATTCTAGGCTGCAAGGTATACTCTTCATAAATACATATATAGATGTATGTATTTCTGTGTACATGTACATTTCTATGCCAATGTATACATATATTATAGATATGCAATACAGAATTAAGGCTCACACAAGAATACAACCCACTTATAAACAGAAGGATCCCTTGACCCTTCAAGCTTAGGTCCACTTAATTAAAAATGAAGCATAATTTGTACCCTTAATTTAATGGCCTATGATTTTCAAGTTTAACTATTTTCATGTTGATTGCTATATTTTGACCCCATTTTGAAGGTACCACAAGGGTGTTTATGCCCTGAAATAAAGACAAACAGACAACCTTTCCAACCTTGAAAACAAAGGAAAAAATTTAAGACAAACAAACATGAAAAGCCATCATGTATTTCTCTGCACCCAGAATAGTGCTAAACATAAAGTAGGCACTAAATGAATACTTTCTAGATAATTCAGTAAATGAAAGAGCAAACACTTGCAGTTATGCAGTTCCTCATTAGGGCAAGCCAAAGGAAGAGCTATCGATTTAAGGGGAAAGATAGTTCAAAACTAAATCTTGACCCAAATGGTGAAAAGATGATTACCTGAAAATAATTTTAATCTTTTTTTTTTTTTTTTTGAGACGGATTCTCGCTCTGTTGTCCAGGCTGGAGTGCAGTGGCCGGATCTCAGCTCACTGCAGGCTCCGCCTCCCGGGTTAATAATTTTAATCTTATAGCTACGCTTTAAATTCTTTGGTCTCTTAGCTCTCAGGGCAGTGATGTATACCGTGTGGGGTGCAATATCACATCTACCTAACTCAACCAGCTTATCCAGCCGAGGACAGGCATCATAAATATTCCAGTGAGTTCTGTGAGGATTAGGGGTAAACAGATGTCTAGTTCACCTCTGCATTTCTCAAGAGTCTTGCCAAACTCTATAGAATCTTCTCCAGTTAATGTGCTTTTGTCATTTCTGGGCTTCTTCTACATGTTACAAATAAAGTGGATACTTGTGGTGGTAGGTGACAAGGTTCATAGGAGAAGGTGAAAGCAGGAAAAAAGGTCAACAAACATTTACCGAGCACCCACAGTTTTTAGGCCAAGGCTAGGTGCTGGACATACAGAAATAAAAACACCCATCACTGGTGACTCTATATATCGAGTCTCAATACTTCTTGGTCACCATGATAGGTTTTGGTATACGTTGTTCTTATTTGCAATTTAATGGCAGGAATTTTATCTCTACCACAGAAGAAAACAAACACCTTTGGGCTCACTCACAAGCACATATTCATGAAATTTTAAGATGTAAGAAAATTCATTGTGTTGTCATAGATGAAGACATTTCTTTAAAAAAAAAAACCAGCAATTCCATCTGGTCTGCTAAACAGGTTCTCTTGGTAATATCATGCATGTTTTAATAAATTTATCTAATTGCATTTATCCTGGGTGGGTAACTAAGAACTCTGAAGGACAGATATATTCCCAAATTATTTCTCAAGCAAATTTTTGGGTGTGTACATGTTAACAGTAGAAAGGAATCTAAATAAATTAATATTTCCAATTATAGTATACTACCATGAAGTGATTTGATTAAAATATTTTCCTTAAAAATAAAAAGGAGGCAAACTTTTGTTTCTATGAAGAAACATTCTAGGCTGCTGTGTCTGATGGAACGTGTACTCCATCTTCATGAATACATATATAGATGTATGTATTTCTGTGTATATGTACATTTCTTTGTAAATGTTACATTTAAAAAGTAGATTCAAATAACCCTAATTTAATTTTTAAAAATTTTAAACACAAGGAAAATGTTTTCCTTTATATCATCCTTATCACTATGACAACTAAATGGGTTTGGTGCAATTCTATCTTATCCTAATTAAGAACATGGCCCTGCAACACGGTATTCTGTTAATATTAAATGAAAATGTGTGAATTATCTAGTTTTAATTAGACTGCTGCATTTATGGCTTTCTGTTGTGAGCAAATGCTGTTTAGTATATAAAACATAAATTGAGATTTGTTTCTTAAGAATTAGATGAATGTAGGGGAAATCAAGGGGAACCCACACTGCTTGAATCACACATCCTTATGTAGAGTCTGTATCCATTCACTTATCTTTTCATCCTTCTATCCAATACTATTGAGCCCCTCCTATTAGCAGTCAATGGAAGGACAAAGAAAAATCTGTCCTTACTAATGAGCTCCCTCTGGTGATAAGATCCACCAAAACAGATAATTATAATATAATATAGTAAGATAAATGTAGTTACAGAAATAAGCCGGGAGTATTTGAGATATAGCAAGAAAGACCCAACTGGTGGGGAGGAAGGGAAGAGAAACATCTTTCAGGAGGACAATTAATCAATAAATAAACAAATAATGCTTATTTTTTTTTTGTTTCATCAATATCCCTACTCACTTTCCCGCTCCTGTATTATTTTGAGGCAAATAATTTCACCCATGCATATGTCAGTGTGTAGCTCTAAAAGATAAGGGTGCTTGTTTTTAATATAAGCAAAAATACAATTATCACATCTCAAATATTACCAATAATTTGTCACCACATATGTCATTGGTGTCCAAATCTCCAACTGTCTCATCGTCATGATTTGTTTTACCATTTATGTTTTGTTTGAATTGAAATACACAAATGTTCATTGCTTACAATTTGTTACTTTTAAGTGTTTCCCCTATATCTCTTTTTTCTTTGCCAATTATTTATTGAAGAAGCCTGAGTTTTAAAGAATGCGTGGAGGGTTAGACAAATAAAGGGGAGGGGAGTAAGGAAGGAAATTTAGAGAAATGGGACACCAGGAGAAAAAAATGTTGTAGAAACATTGAGGCTTTCCTTGATTTTTCTTCCTTCCCTTTCTTCCCCTTCTTTCTTTCTTTTTCTTTTTGATGGAATTTCACTCTTGTTGCCCAGGCTACTGCAATGGCACCATCTTGGCTCACCGCAACCTCCGAATCCCGGGTTCAAGTCATTCTCCTGCCTCAGCCTCCCAAGTGACTGGGATTACAGGCACCACACCCGGCTAATTTTGTATTTTTAGTAGATACAGAGTTTCTCCATGTTGGTCAGGCTGGTCTCAAACTCCCGACCTCAGGTGATCTGCCCGCCTTGGCTTCCCAAAGTGCTGGGATTACAGGTGTGAGCCACCGTGCCCAGCCTCCTTAATTTTCTTAAACATGCAAACTCTGTGAGCATACTTACTTATTTTGGGAATATTGCTCAGTGTACTAACAATACTATTCTCTATAAATCTAGTAAATTCCTGTATCATCTTCCAGCTTAGCTTCAGAAATTCTTCCCCACTTTTCTCTCATGTTGTCTCCATCCTCCTTTGAAGAATGTATCAGCTGGCATTTATCAACCAGTATTTTTGGTGTGTTTGTGTTGAGGCATCATGTGAGATGCTAGGCATATAGGGATGAATGAAATCAAATCCCTGCCTTCAAGAAACTCTCAGGCCGGGTGTGGTGGCTCACACCTGTAATCCCAGCACCTTGGGAGGCCGAGGCGGGTGCACACAAGGTTAGGAGTGCGAGACCAGCTTGACCAACATGGTGAAACCCGTCTCTACTAAAAATACAAAAAAAAAAAAGTCAGGTGTGGTGGCACATACCTGTAATCCCAGTTACTTGGGAGGCTGAGGCAGGAGAATCGCTTGAACCCAGGAAGTGGAGGTTGCAGTGAGCTGTGTGCCACTGCACTCCAGCCTGGGCAACAGAGCAAGACTCCGTCAAAAAAACCAAACCAAAACAAAACAAAACAAATCTCTCTGTGAGGTATTTTAGTAAGAAATGAGGCAATGCCTATGATGCCTACGTTTCGGCCTAAAAACATATATTTTTCCAAATAATTTTTAGTCATGACAAATATATGCTCATTGTTGTGCAAGGCATAACTGGAGAGTTTTCAAAAAAAGGGATATTTGCCATGGAATCGTTAATAGGCTTCCTCTTTCAGTTTCCATTTAAAGATGGAAAGCAACACTTTGTCAATAGGCTAATCATTTTGACTGTGTGTTTTATTGCTTTTTCTAATGTCCTATGTTATGAAAAGGTCATGAGAAGACTAATGTTGGAAGATCAGATTATCACATTATAATGAGTTTAGCTAGTACCCTATGGCTCACATTTTACTCTTTATGCTGCTAGTGGGGCAACTGAAGCAAGCAAGACAATAACGCATTATCCTGTAATATTTTAAAATGATGTTGTTGATGGTGGAAGACCCACTAGCACTTTTTTATTCAATTAAGGGGCTGCCAGTATTTCCTTGGGTTTGTTATTGGCCTATACAAGTAGAAAGATACATCTTCATATTCAAGAACCTAATACAGTGTCTTGCACATTGTGGGAAATGGTGGGTATCACATATGCTGTCCTGCTACTTTCCAACTACGTGACCAAGCATCATTTTCTCCTCTATTTTTATAGTGCTACTGTGAGAAGTAAATGAGATAACATGTATTCAGTGCTTTGCACACAGCAGCAGTAAACAGAGAATTTTGTTATTATTTAAGTAAATGAATTTTTAAAATTGTACATACTGCCGTTGTCTTTTACTCCTTTACCTCTGCCTTATCCAAATCCCTGACCTGTCTTTCCAGACAACCTCAAATATCTCCTTTACCCACTTTTTAAAAACGCATAAAGGACCGTCTTAAACATCTTAATACTTAGTTACACATTGTTCCTGTGTCTAAATGTTATTCTCCCTAATTGTAGCCATAAGTTCTTTAAAAATAAGATGAGTGTTACATAGAAGTGATGTCAAAATATTTATAGCTAGCTGTGCCAGGTATTAATGCTTTAGTTGCTCAAGCATGGAGATGTGTGAGAGTCCTAGGGAACGGATTCAGGGGTTTCAGTTTGAAGCAGCTTGGAGAGGAGCACTCAAAGAGCCCAGGGTAGAAGCTATTTACTAACAAGAAAATATTTCAATATTTTAAGAAGCAGAAGCACTGCCTGCAGCCAGAATATTAGCGCTGGCATTTTTGATACTTCTTTGGCATCCTCTATTTGTCAGGAACTCAACACACTTACTGATAAGGTAAGAAATTCATCCAAGGAACAGTTTCTCTATTTGTACAAGGAAGCTACAAAACAAGACAAAGAAGATTTTATCTGGTTTGTGCTATGGGGAAGTGAAGTTATCATGGTAATAATGGTACCTTTTAATGCTTATGTGACATATGTGCTTTTAAATAAATATTATCTGTCACCCTTCCACTATTTTTAGTTGTTTCTTTCTCTGCACTGGAGAACTGTCTAATCTGAAGAGGAAGAAGCCAGTGCCCTGGAAGCATTTCCTACCTGGTCACTGCACCCTTCTCTGACTCAAGCATGTTTTCTGAGTTAAAACAGAAGTCTTGGGCTCTTCACTGACACAGCTGGGCTGGGAGCACTTACCCATGCCTAGATACAGATTTTCTGAACAGATTTTATACACCAGAAGCAAGGGGCAAGAGGAAATATACTTTGATTCTGTTTATTGCTATTATTTTCTGTTCTTTGGAATGAAGCTAGATAGACAAATGAATATTTTAGGAGCATACCCACCAGGTAGGTGGACTGACAGCACTGAGACAAGCTTCATGAGTGAAATAAGAATGTTTAATCATTGCATTTGGATGACAGAAAATTGTGAACTGTATGAGCATGCCTGTGATAGAAAGTAAATAACGGTTTTGTCACTTCCTCTTCTATGCTGTAAAAGTGGAAAAACAATCCAAAGTGTAGTTAATTAAATTTGGAGTTAGGAATTTCAGTGGAAAACTATTACCAAGCCCATTAAGTACAATCTTAATGAAGGAAGTATTCTACTTCCTCAGTGGAAAGAAATGATGATTACTGCCAAAGGCTGAAGAACTTACGAATTATATAAACTCTGAATTATCCAGAAATCAGAGTGAAGTCTAATTTTTCTTTGAAGCATTGACATTTTGTTGAGAAATATTTTACTCTATGTCTCATTTCCAAAGTGACATAGCAAACACACGTACCAAAATATATTCTTATTTGTCTTATCATATTTTTTAGCATCACAAACATCATGATATCAAAATCCAAATACACTTGAGTTATTGTATAAGTCATTAATCTTCTCTGAGCAGGTTTAATTAGAAGTAAAAAGGAGAAGAAGAAGATGATGATTTTGTTCAAAATACTATAATTCTTGAGCCTGGTAACATACATTTTAAAGTTCACATTGATTGACTCCAAATCTGTATCCACATTGTAAAGAATCAGAACATTTGACTGTGGTTTAGCTTAGAACTCAATGGTCATTATTTAACAACAAATTTTGGTGAGACTGATACTCTAGGTTTTCTGTTCCTTATTCTACTGTGCACACGGCTTCTGGCTGTCTGGTGATTTCTGCAGTAGTGCCAATGTAAAGATAGGCAGTGAGTTGAACAATTACTTCATTAGCTTTTGTGGCAAAGAGCATTTTTCTCTACCTCAAAGCCTTTCCTTCTTTCTTCTCCCCTAGCAAACTCCTACTCTTCCTGGAAACCAGTTTAGGGACATGCACCATCAAATGCTTCGCCTTCATTCCATTATGTTATGTACTAACTCTAGTAGACATTTGTACATTATGTATTGTACATTTCACAAGTTATAGATGGCTGCTGGATTCTTTTCCAGCATCCTACCCCACCACCATCCCATCCTAACAGCAACAGCTGCCAAATTTCAGTTAAGGACTCATAATGTCCTGGGGAGACTGTCTTTATCCTATTTAAGCTTTAGAATGGGGCTGGAGATTTGGTCTCATGTTCAGGGGTGGATAGAAGCCAGTCTCTTCAAAGTGAATTCTAGCAATCATTGTCAGGATCTCTTTCTAGCCGGATGTGACTATGAAAACAAGTTGTCTAGGAGCCACTGGCAACTGTCCTGGGGCCATGAGGGCAATTAGTCTTGGTATGAAGCTAACACAAAGACAGGCAGTGTGGCAGGACCAAAAGGGATTTCTTGACAAGATTGTGAGCTGAGCTACAGGATCAGACCTCTTGAAGCTGACTTTACTGATGTACTTTTAAGTTACAATCACCAATATGAGTATATATTCCCTTTGTTGAGCAAGTCAGTTTGAGTCATCAGTTTAACGCTGTATTTTCAGATTGGGTGAGCACTTAATGTAGGCATACTATGTGTTAAGTATTTACTGTGCCAGATACTTTCATATGGATGAGAGCATAGCTTATACCGGGAAATAAAGTTATCTCATTTACATCTTCCCAACCACCTTGTGAGACAGGAATTGCTATACCTGCTTTATAGTGAAGGAAAGCAAGGTTGCAAGGTTTATTAGTGGGGGACACTTCCAACAATGCATTCTGCCTTTCCTCCTAGAAAACTACTTTGTTTTGCAAGTTTGACACTACTTACAATGGAAAGCAGCCTTATCTGTTACTGTCATGGCTGAGAAGGAATCACACTTGCAACTATGGGCTCATTTATCCATGTCTCTTGGATTATAAATTCCTTGAGTTCAGGGATTAAAGTATTTCATCTTTGTTATCTCATCACCCAGCAAAACACTTGGCACATGGTCCATGCTTAATAAATAGCTAATAATAGACAAATGAACTAGAAAACAACCTAACAAAGCAAGGTAATCTGGATTATTCTGACCAGAACACATGGCTTTCCCAAGTATTTTGCATTTTAGTTTTTTATATTTGGCTTGACTCTTTCAGAGTTAGATGTTCACAATATACTAACAGCTATTTTCTCCTCTAATTTCCTAAAAGTGTGTTTTCCCTTTTCTTATAATTATGTGAATGATTCATGTT